ATAATATATATTTGTTGTCAAAATACATTTTAGTACATATGTTGTTAAAATGAACAGTCCAATGATGATTTTACTGATATGTATATACACCCGAATTTCCCCCCGCGGGACAATAAAGGCTGTTTCTATTCTATTCTAAAGACTGCAAAGGCTGAAAAATCTTAAAGTCTGTATGAAATTGGAGGTAGTTTGAGGATTAAAATTTTTATGCTTTTTAAGCTCAAAAAAGGGGAGTCGTTTTATACGTGATCGTATTATACACGAATAAATACGGTAGGTCTTTAGTTTATAATAGGGTGTGTAGCAGATTGGTGACGTGTAACAATGACCTGGCAGTGTTCTGTATCTTGGTCACACTAGCCTCTTTGGTTGGGTCAGACTTGACAGGTGCCTGAAACTTCGCTTGTAACTCTGTGTGCAGCTTTACAGAGCGACCACTCTCACTCTAACAACAGAGGGAGGGTAAATGCCTCTCTTCAGAGCTGGTGCCTCAGCCCCTAAAGAGAGGCTCTAACACCTTAATAATACTGGACTTCTTTCTGCCTCACTTAGCCACTTCACTGAAGTGCTGCATAAAGGAGTCATTGTTTTTGTGTGTGCCAGGCCCAGCAATAATATCCACAGCAGGGTAGAGGGGTCTTACAAACCTCCTTCCTCTATCAGCATATCCCATTTCCAGCCTTGCTGTGTCTATTTGTTTCTGTCCGTTCCCATCGTCCAAGCACTGTCTCATAGAAGCTGCTCAGCTGCAAAGAAAAAAACTGAGCAACAATAGTCTTTTCATGTTGGACTCGGTGCATTGAGTGCTGCTTAGCGTGCCGCGCTGTTTTGTTTTCCTCTTTAAATAAGTAATCGTTGTAACAGAGGTGGAGTGTGTGCCAAAAGCCCACTCAGTATTCACACCATGCCCTGGGAGAGCCCAGCGAGGCGCAGGCCTGGGGCCAGGATCGCCGCTCCATGATTCTCTTCAACCGGCTGCCAAGTCTCAGCCACTGCGGAGCAGCGGAGGGACACGACGGTCTGGCCCCTTGGTTTGTTTGTCCTGCTCCGGCCTCCTCCTCCTCCTCCCTCCCTCCCTGTGGAGCAAAAACGAGCCCCTTTAATGGACACGGAGACCTTTAAATAAACTTGATCACAGCGTGGATCATGCCAAGCGTCAGCAGCGATCCTGTTTCACATTCACCGTTGTCATCGCAGCAAATAGGGAGGGAGGACGATAAGACTCACCCAAATACATCACAGCTTTACTCCGCAGATAAGAGATTAATGAAGGCCCAGACAGCCTAATGAATCCTGCGTATCATCTCTCAGCACTGCCTGAGAAAGTTTCTGGGCTCAGATTGTTTGAGAAATGACTTTTGGATGGACGCGTAACGCAGCAGTTTTGCTTCACAATTGACAATATGAATATTGTCATTTTGTTGTTTGTGTTTTTGCTTTGGAATCTGTCATTAAATGAACCTGTTGCATGGGCAGCGGGAGTTTGCTCTCGCTGTTAGTCATTGCCTCTGTTTAGCTGCACATATAAGGAAACAAATGTCTCCGACTGGGCAATTTGTCAACATTAGCCGTGTTTCCATCAAACTGTAATGCGAATTTTGAGGGAACTTTTAAAATGTCACCAAAAAGAAAAGAAAAGAAAAACGAAATCCGAATCAGACGTGTTTCGTTTCATCTACTGTTTGGAGTGAATCTATCGCGCTACGCAAAGTGTAATTACATCAGCTGTTAACGTTACGCATGGCTGTAATAAACAGGAAGTAGAAGTCGCAAACTATCAAGGACCACACATCTTGGGACAATGGAGAGAAGTTTTCAGGAATGTGTTGACATCTGGCAAGTTGTAGTTGTTCTGTCATATCAACTAGCATTGGCGATGTTAAGTGCTGTTTGGAGACGTAGAGAAAAATATGTAATTCTTAAGGGAATATCCAGGAAGACGCCGACAGTGGAAACAGCTGATCAGTCATGTGAGGTAAATGTTCGCTATGTCAGAACTTATTCGGTAAATGCGTTTCTATCCTCTTTTTCACATTGTCTTTTTTAGAAAATTTTTAAAAAACACACCTCCAGTTGCAAAATTAATTGAAGTTTTTACATATTTTGCCATTACCATCAACCTTTCCTAAATGCAACACATGTAAAAAAAAAACATTAATGGAAACACGGCTATTGATTATTTTCAAAATGAATGGGAGCTTTTTCGAAAACGGTTGGTTTGTTTGTCAAAATCTAAAGAGATGAGCTGTGTTTTCACAACACAGACACTAACCGACCCAAAGGCCGTGTTCGGACCTGGCACCAGAAGTTGAGCAACATGAAAAACTCCAATCAGTTTAGTCATAGTGGCCTCTGTGGTCAAAAAGCCAAGCTCGAAAACCTTTGAAACAATGAAGTGGGTTGAGTTTTTATGATAAACACAGCCAGATGCAGACCAGGCTCTAAGGATGGAGGGAAAAAATAAAAAAATACCACAACCGCTTCGGAATTTTTTTTGGTTAAAGTCTACAAAAAGCATAACTTGAGTCATGGATATGTTCAGCTACATGTGTCTTTTGTTTTGTCTTAGTGCGACAGCTCTTGTGTGTGTATGTCGTGTTTTGTTCAACCACTGTGGGTGTGTTTCGCAGGAGAAGCCAGCGCCTCCACCATGTGGGACAACAACGCCTGGGTGTATTTCTATGACAACACCACGGAGGGAGAACCTCCCTTCCTCATCCAGGACTTCATCCATGCTCTGCAGCCCGATGCCCGCTTCATCGTCATGCTCAGGGATCCGGTGGAAAGGTGGGGGGACTTTCCACCTCACTAGATGTGTGCTCTAAACATGAAACTGTTGTGGAAAACTACTGTTATTACAGTCTACAGAGTCAGAGACCTTTTAGGTTTATGGTAAACAAAAAAGTTTTTTTTTAGGTGGACATCAAAAATTTCCTCTTGATGTCTATTAGATGTGAGGATGACTTTTTTCATGTTAAACAGATACAGACTTTTTGAAGTGGGGTTTGGGGAAAGGTAATGAACAAGTAACATCTTACCTGTTCTAGATAGGTCTTTGGAAATATTCTAATCCACTCCAGATCTTGTGCAAAATTAAACTTTTTTAAGAAAGTTATTTACTGATAT